ATGCGTCTATGAAATATTTTCGTATGCGTATATATAGAAGAAACCCAGAATCATTGAACCAAAAAATCAACATTGCAACGATAAAATCAATATTTATAAAATAGAATCGACGTTACATTGATGATTTTGACTGAAATTTAAATACTAAATTTCAATAGTCCGGTAGACGCTTGCACATCTCTAAGATGTCATCTACCGTTCTTCAGACCGTTGCATCCAACTCGAGCAGAATTTTCTCTTCGAAACCGAAATACGTTTGCCACATTGCCCTAACATCGTATTGATTCTTGAGCTTAAACTTGCTGTAAACAACGTTCTATTTGTTGTCAACTGAAGGTTAACGATACTCAAACTTCACAACCTTTCGTTTGTCATTGTAAGGTACGCGATATTGGATCTCATCTACGATATCGGCGAGAGGGGTGAGATCCATGAGTTTGAACGTCCTCGGTAACACTCCAATTTTGGTAATTATTTATTTATATTAATTAATTGAGCGATTTTATGAATTAATTGATTTATGTGATTTATTTAAACTATTTGATTTACTGAATTTATATGAATTGTTTGATTTATATGAATGATTGGATTTATATAAATTAATTGATTTATTTAATTAATGTGAGTTAACTAATTTAATTGATTTAATTAATTTAATTAAAATATGTGATTTATTTTATTTGGTGGAATAATATAGAATTGCTAGATTAATTAGTTGGGTCCAATCATAGGTGTGTGAATACAAAGTGAGAGTGAGTTGAGTAAAGCTTCCTTTTTATAATGAAATAAGTTGCATACATTTAGCTCTTTCTCCTATTACTTAGAGAATTCTTTTGAACAACACAAAATTAATATTCAATAGTTTAAAACTAAACACAAGCATGAACAAACACTGAATTTATTAATAAGAAGCTTAATATAGAGATTTCAACAAAATATAAAGCATAACTATGCATAAATCTAACATCAGAATCTTTCATAGATAACTTCAAACTTGTCTCTCTAAATCTTAGAAGAACTGACCTCAAAAATTATGTTAACCCCCTGCTGAACAAGTATTTCAGAAATAACTTGTCCATAAGGAATGAAGAAGGTCTTTCCATTTTGAAAACAAGAAAAAGACCTCTTCAGATGGTCAAACATAACTTGAGGAAGATTAATCTTCAAATCTGAATCAAGAAGTAGAAGCAAATATTTTTTAATAGGGTCCATTTGGTCTAAATCCTTGTCATTAGGAAGTAAGTTCGAATTTCGAATCTGATTCTAAACAACAGCATCAGGAAGAAGATTTGAGACCTTTTATGTATTAGATGGATCTACAAAGATTTGAGACCTCTGATACTCATATTTCTATAAGACTATACATGTATGTACATGCAAACTCTTCTTTACCTTATGTCTCAATGTAATAGAAAAATCATAAATCACTCCAGAGTATGAGTCCAGGATGAGATATGATAAGAACAAAATCTTGTTCTAAGTAGAGTCACTAATCTCATTGTCTAGGATTAAATATTTTGACTTTGAAATTATTGACAAGCTCAAAACCAAATGGTGTTAGCTATCAGAAATTGACACAAAGCAAATCAAAATATTATCTTATTACGGCTGACAGAACTCAAGGAGAAACTGAAGACTTCTCATAGAAATGTCTTTTAAAACAACTTCCATGATGATCCTCAATCAAGAAGCAATGGAGTCTCTTAAGATATCACCTTAAAGAACAGTCTATGTATTATCAAATATTTTGAAGCAAGATAGGTTTTACACCATCTCTTACTTTTCAATACTTGATTTTTATTTCAGAACGCGTATGCTTCTTTTCATCTACATCCTGCACTAATACCAGCTTCAAAAGATTAGACGTTGAAGAGCATCTGATATTAGGTTCTGGTAATGTTTCTTCTTGCTTTCTGATTTTGGAAATCAGTTGAAATATAAGTATTTTAGAAGCTTCTGAAGTTGCTCTTCTATCAACAGATATCACAATCCACTCATCTAGTATGGAAGTTCTTCTGACAATAAACCTAAGTTTCTTATCATTAGTCATTGTAAAGAACTTGAGCTAAATTGAGAAGGTTATCTGTTGAATAGTTTTTCATCATCTAACTTCATTTCTTTCCTTTGAAGACTGCAAGACAAACCTTCAGAACACAGCAGATTCAAGATGTAAACATCCTGAATAACTGTGATATTATATTTAAGTCTTAGAGCAATCTTCTCAGAATTTGCTTGAAAATAATAGATGACGTGTAATTGTTCAAGCTTCAAAAACTGATCCCCACAAATCCAAGCACAAGAATTCAAAGAATTTTCAAGCATTAGACACATCAATGATATTGATATACTCAGAAGTGAGATAGAGCATCTACTAGAATGCAACTACCTCTGAAGATATTCAATATGCATCTTCTGATTTGGTGAAAGAGATTTTTCAAGAAGATCATGTTTACACCATCAATTTCTATAGTAATACCTCTTTCAAGGATATTTTATAGACCATTAGCAACCCTTAATCAAGACCAATGAGTTAAAAATATGTTTAGCTTTTCCATTATTTAAGTTTAGTGGAATCATCTATTGAATATGGTAGGAAAATCCGTATGACATTTTTCATGTGGAACTTGATTTCTTCTTGAAGAAGAAATATACTTTTCTTATTGAATCATTAGCTGTCGCACTGTTAAGTATTAAACACAGACCATGCTCTGATACTAATTGAAGGTGTGAAAAGTACACAAGATGGGGGGTTGAATTGTGTTTTGCGTTTTCTTTAATTTAACTTCTGATCAGAGTTTCAAAATCAGAACTGGTGTTCAGATTCTTTTTTAATTCATTGGAGCAGATATAACAGAAGTAAATAAATAACAGCAGAAGACACAAAAGATTTGTCATGGTTCCTCCGTTAACTAATAGTACTCCAGTCCCCCTGCCTCACAAGAGGTTTTCATTATAACCACTTCATGATTACAAATGCTTATGCTTCTGCATAAGTCTTTTACACTTGCTTAGACCAAGTGTCTAAGACTTTCTTGCTTAGAGCACATGTCTAAGACTTTCCTTGCTCACACCTTCTGACCGAGCCACCTGCTCCAAAGGTCTTTTGGTTGAGACTTACCCTTGCTTAGAGCACATGTCTAAGACTTCTTACTCACACCCTCTGATCGAGCTACCTGCTCTTTTGGCCATCCAAATTGAGACTTCCTTGCTCAAGAAGCACTTGAGACTTCCTTCTCACACCCCTTAGATGGAGACTTTCCCTTGCTCAATCAGACTAGCTAAATAAGACTTTCACAGCTCAAGCACTTAAGCAATGAGACTTACGTGGCTTAAGTATCTTGGCTAAAAACTTATTGCTTGAATCTCAATGAGACAAGACTTCTGCTCAAGCACATAGCAAGAGAATTTATCTAAACTACTAAAGGCTCTGTAGAATAGAGAACAAGGTGTACATGATATAGGCATCAGAGGTACGGGAAATCAGCATAACAAAGACCTAAATCTCGTAAGATTTCTAAGGTATTCAATGGTAAGAAATCTTAAGGCTTTTACAATTACAACCTACAACAGAAAATCTGAATATTACAATAGAGTTGATAATTGCTTGATCTCTCTACTCCTTCATATGAAGAATCCTTGTTTAGATTCAAACTTGAATCTTCAGTCATATTTGTAGCCTTTGCATAAACTAGCCATTGAAGAGGTAACTTAATCAAGTGTCTTTGTTTTTACTCCATAGTACAAGAAACATTGAAGATGCATGCTCAGTAGATTCTGAATCTAGTGTGTAACACTTTAACCTTTGAGTCCTCAAGAGGTTCTGTACTGATAGAGCCATTAAGAGCAGATATCGCTAGAGCTTATAAACCTTTCTTGAGCCTTACAATCTTGTACACTCTAGCTGACAAGCTGATAAGACAATACAACTTTCTTTCTGCAGTACAGATAACCACAACTTTATCACCAACTCTGAGTGGTACTAGATGCTGATATACAATTACCAAGTGTAGTAATTCGTCTGAATGTTGAGGCCTTCAGCTCAGATTCTGATTATTTATGTACAATGATGTAGAAACTGCATAAATAAAACACACATCAAATAAACAATTTTTATTTCAATATTGTTACCATCAAAACGAAAAATAGAATATGTCATGAACAAATATTGTTCTTACAAACATAACGGTATCATCCGCGAAGTGTAGCATATCAAAATGAAGAGCGTCGTTTAAAGAGAAATGTTTGTAATCCCCTGACATCACCGCTTTTCGCATCATACCTGCGAGAACTTCTGTTTCCAAAATAGAAAGAAAGGGTGAGAGAGGATCTCCCTAACACAATTCTCGACTCACTTGAAACTCCAGAGTGGGGCTGCCAATAACCAAAATGGACAAATAACTTGTGAACACTAAGAACTCCATCCATTTCAATCATTTTGGACCAAAGTTCATAGCATTCAAAACCTTCCTTAAATAATCCCAAGATAGACAATCATAGGCTTGTTTGAAATAAATCTTAACCACTAAGCAATTCTTTTTTAATCTCTTCGCATAGTCTATAATTTCATTGATTACCAACACGCTGTCATGAATATGCCTTTGCGAAATAAAAGCAGATTGACACTCAGAAACTAAGCCATTCACCACCTTCTTGATTCTCGCCGCAAGAAGTTTGGATAGGATCTTATAAATACTACCTATCAAACAAATAGGCCCGTAGTCCTTAAGGCTTTACGGATCGGAATGCTTGGGAGTCAAAGCCAGAAACAAAGATGTAACAGCTTTGGGAAGGGAAGCCTTCAAATGGAAATGCTTGATGAAACTCATGACATACTGTTTAAAAATCTCCCAGCAGCCTTTGAAAAAACCAAAACCAAAACCGTCCGGCTAAGGGCTGACAATAACATCCGACGCCCAAATTATCTCCTTAACCTTATCTTCGCAATAGGGTTCTTCGAGCATTATCCTATCCGCCTCACATAACCTTTTAAAATCCAAACCCTAAAGAAAAGGCCTCCTAGGAACTGGTTCAGAAAAAACAGTCTGAAAATGGTCAAGGACTTCCTTCTTAATCTCCTCTGCACTCTTCTTCCAGCTTGTAGCAGTGTGCAGCACCGAAATGCAATTATGCCTAAACCTTTGTTTCATACACTTATGGAAAAACCTGGAATTGACATCCCCTTCTCTAAACCAATGGTGCCTCGATTTTTGCCGAAGAATACTCTCCCTGTAGTTCATGGTTTGCCAAACAAGAGAAATCGCTTCCTCCATTGCAGTGCTCAAAGAGTTACAAAAACCAGACAAACTCGCAACAGTATCCAACTTCTTAAGAGACTTCACTGCTATATCCACATCTAAGTCAAGAATTCCAAACACTTCTTTGTTCCAAATTTTTAAGCGAACTTTCAAACATTTCAATTTCTCTTTCAAAATAAAACTTGGTGACCCCAAAATCTTCAGCTCAATCCAAGCCTTACGAATGCAAGGCAGAAAACCGTCATGGCGCAGTCAATAGTTGAAAAACTTGAAGGGCTTCAGCCTCCAATTGGCGAAGCTGCCTTTAACCCAAATCGGGCAATGGGCCGATAAGTCTCTGTTACCAATAGCTTGATTCGCAACATTCCAAAGTTGCACTAAACCATCTGACAAAAGAAATCTATCATGTCTGCTCATTGCTGAACCGTCCGACCTAAACCAAGTGAACTTCCCCGCGATAACTGGAACATCACACAATCCCATCGTCTCCATAAACGCACAAAAATCTATCATCCCATTTTGACACTTTTAGAGAACATACACTTTTGAAGAATATTTACTCAAGAATGTAATTTTATAAATAATAATTGAAGGGGGCTTGAAAGAAAGAGAGTAAAGTGGTAAAGATGAGAATGTAATTTTTAGTTGAACAAGTTGACCACCCTTAGATAAATTTTTGTTTGATGCATCTTCCAACCAAAAGTACGAAATGTTCACCTCAACCAGTAAACTTTTGTGAAAGTTAACTTTGAGGCCTGACATTAGTTTGAAAAGAATTAGGTTTGCATGAATAGCCCTAATGTTAGCATATTTTTTCTCAACCCACTTCAAAGTATCATATGTGAGATGATATGAACCGACGATCAACACCGTGTGCCAATGCTAATCGATTTAAATTAACTAATGAAGTAGTGAAACACAAAATTTATTATTCCTTTCAACCTACAATATTCACACGGTTAACATCAAGGTTTGGAATGTTTTATGTCTCTTCCTATTCACAACTAAATTGTTAACAAAATTCTAGAATTGAAATCTGCCACTTCGAGCCAAAGATGCCGACTGTAATTACATTTGAATTAGCATATTTCTATGGGTAAAATGGAAAGTAAATTGTCTCGAAGTTTGTTAAGAAGATGTTGGCACATTTAATCTTGTGTTTCATTCTAGAGGTTATTATAAGATTTGGTTCAGGTTTGTTTAGTTTAAGATTTTATTAAAGTTGCTTTGAAAGAAAGATTTGATTGGTTAATGTTTGAAGACAACTTGTTGAGCAATATGTCTTAAACATGTTGTGTGACATCTTAGAGCGTGTGGTGCATGGATTGGGTTTTATTTCTCTTCAAATTTTATTTAAGATTTGTTTCGGTTTTAATTCTTACAGAAGTCTACCAAAATTGTGTTCAAATGAATAATTATAAATTAAATCAATTTGGAAATGATTTTATCTGGATGATGAAGATGTAATTGGATATGATTTACTTAAAAGAATTGAAGTTGATTTATTTAAATGAGATTTGTCTCCTTTTATATTCGATCAAAGATTTGATTGAATACATGCTTTTTGTTTTAAAGGAAGATTTGACGTGAATCGAATTCAACAAAATTGAATTTGATATAATCAAGAAATTTTATTATGAATCTTTTACTTGAGAAGTTTGACTTATTATTTTATCAAGTAAATATTTTATTTTATTTGTTCAAGATTCAAAATTATTTTACATTGAAAGATGTCAAGTAAAATGTTCCACGGTATGCGAGACATTTTGTCTCGTTTAAGGTTGCTTTGCAAGCAAGAATTTTGAGATCATTATCAAGCTTTTCGTGAAGTGTTTCCTTTAATATACAATTAGAATTAGAATTGTTTTGAATTGTATTTGTGCTTCTTGAATTAAGAAAAGATTTAACTTGAATCAAATATATTCAAGATTTGTATCAATCAAGGTTCTCAATCTTCATAATAAAGATTTGACTGATTTGTGCGCATTTTAGATTATGTAAGTTTCTAATCAGAATCTGTTTTGGTAAGATTAAATTTGAAGATTTCTATTTGTTCAAGATTTAATCAATCAAGCTTTTCAATCAACTTATTTAAGATTGATTCTTGCACTTTTTGGAGGATCAGCTGAATTCATGACATAACCTACAAGGCTTTGGAGTTGGTTGATCTGCTGTCGCGCGCGGATCAAAACGAGTAGTTTGAAAAACGGTAGTTTAGCGACAATGACTCGAGTCGTATCGCAAGGATTCTTGTAGTGATTGACCAATAAAGTAACAGTTTATAGGGGTTTGAATTTTGATTAAGAGAAAAAATACTTAAAATAAGTGACTATAAAAAAAGTGATTATTAAAATAAGCTAAAACGGCTAATCCTACTGATTCGGGTTCCGACTTATCATCGGCTATTATAACATCAATCCCTAAGCGGTACCAATCCTATTCGATTATGATATTAATCAAACAAGCGCTTATCAACATCAAATGAATTATGTTCCTGTTTACCGAATTAAGTAAACGGTTAAGAATATGACGAATTAACGAATTAAGCAAACGATAACACGCAATTAAATTTAGGAACATGCATACAATCAAATTTAACCAATTCTATCCTATAAACAACAATTGAATTAAGCAAACAATTGCAATCAAATTAAGCAAATGACTTCATAGAAAAGGATTGAAAGGAATCAGATTTAAATTGATATTATAATAACCTCAAAGTGTTGAAACCGTACACAACAGGATTTGCCCGGAGGTATTAGTTTTCCATGAGTTCTTCTCAAACCTCTCTTTCCATTTTTTTCGTGAATAATATATAATTAACCGTAAAACAAGGTTTCCCCTAAAAAGAAAAATAATGGATCCGGTTCAAAACCCAACTGGGTCGAAAATATAATCCAGACCCAAAACATGATCCAAAACTAAAACAAATTCCTAATGTTGTAACTTCAACGAATATTCTGGGAAAATGTGCTCCGAATCTGATTTCGACTCCAACACGAAAGTCATAGCTCTCTCTCTTAGCTTTCCGGCGATTTTCATAACGCCTCAAACGGATTCCCGGAACTCCAGTTATGATCGTTTCCGCGCAGACTGCTAAAGCTGAAAAATAAAGTGCAAAAATCAAATTAAACCAAAAATAAAATAAAATATTAAAACATAAGAATAATAAAAATAAAGTAAATAAATGCCAAAGTAAAAATATAGGAGAATGTGCATAAAGATGCACCGATCATTGGTCTTTTTTTTCTATTTAAGGAGTTCATCTCCTTTTTTAAGACTATGAACTCGAGAGAAATATCTACTCTATAGGAGATTTTTAGTTGATTCTTTTTGTTTGTGAAACTATATTCGCTAGTGTGATTCCTACATAGGGGAATAAAAATTGTTTGAGTTGTAATTGGTTTCATCATTCATACTATATTGTAACTGTCCAAACACTTGGGAGACTGTTTGAGAGAAAGTAAGAGGTCTCATATTCAGGGGAAGTCCTGAATAGAAATCTACGAGTAATATTAGGAAAAGAGGCATTGAAGCAAGAGGGTTCAACTAAAACTAATTTATATTTTTGACTATTAAGAGTGATTTTTCTTTATTTGGGTTAATGTCCAACAAATGTAGGTGATTTTACATCAAATTGAATTACCAATTCATGTGTTATTTGTATTTTGTTTTTATTCTATATGTTACACATTTAACTTGTCCTAGATGTTGTGTCTGACATCTTTTTGTTCAGAAGAACCAAATTCCACCAACACTTTTGCCAATGAATACTATAATTTATGATTCTTAAAGAGATAATGTGGGAAGATAAGAGACATTTTTCTATCAATCATGCGAAAAATACCTTTATAGACATCTCTCCCGATTGATCTAGACTATACTTTATTCTTGAAAGATGATACATACTATATCTAGTAGTTCTCATGGTGATACATCTTAAGAGTTGAGTATAGTAAGTGTGAATAGTATGAGTAATAGTCTCACATTGGTTAGAAATGTGAAGACTTGAGCATTTATAAGTTGAAGAACTCATACACCTATCACCTTAAGGTTTTGGGTGAATATGTGGTGTGTCTCTCACAAATGTGTTTCTTAAAGGGAAATCCCAAAATGTTTAATACTCCCTAGTTGAAAAAACTCTCCTAACACATGCGAATAATTGTAACCATATGTATAAAATAACAGACAATTGAATGTCAACCCATAGGCTATATTTGTAAAGTCTCCATTCCTTGAAAATCAAAACTCAAACATCTTTTAATTATTTTGTTCTTACACTGGTTCTTCACTTTTCAAATCCAATAATTTTAATCTCTCCTTTGTATCCTTAATTAGTTGGTCCACATTTTTCTTGTGCAAGTATTCCCATTTATGTTTTTGATAAATTTAAGTTTCTTCTTTAAAACATAACATCTTCAAACGGTAATGTTACAAGTACAAAATTAACGGTAATGTTACAAGTACAAAATTGGCCCATGCTAAATTTATAGTAGCATGGAAACTTAGACCAACATTTTAAAATTCTAAAAAGGTGAGGCCTCATCTAACCTCATTAGTACCAAGAATAATATGCCAACGATTCTAGCGTACTTGATAAAAATGAGAAACTACTACTTGACCATATATTGTACCAACCTTGTGACACCAAAAATCCATGTGGGAGACTCGTTGACGAACCACCTTGTTGTTAAGTGCAAATTTGACTTAAATTAAATCATCTTTCTCGGTATTTCTCAACTCAATTCTCATGTTTTAATGAATTTTTTCTTGTTCTTGTGTGATTCTTCAAACATATTGCAAATACCTTTGAATTTTTTGATGTGTGTGTTATTGTGCAGGATATAGGCATAAAAAATCAAAGATTAAGACACAAATGATTGGACAAGGAAGCCAAAGAAATGAAGAAGAATCAGCATGTTCATTGTGGGAACACCAGTGAGGTGAAAAGCAAATGCTCGTTGTGCTCGATCCTGGCGAAGCCCCAATAAACATCTCAGATTAGAGGCAATAGGAAAAGGGTCCAAAGATCATTGGGCGAAGTTGTAGTGAAGCAATTCGATGTGCGAAGAAGTGCTCGCACTGCAAACTCAGATATTTTTCAGGGGTGGTTTAAATGTTCAGAGACACTTCAAGTGCCTAAACATGGACCTTGCTGGGCGAAGAAGGTATTCGCTAGGTGAACAGGACATATTTTTGTTTTATTATATATGTACTTTTCTCACTTTTTAGAAATATAACTTTGGTATAACATTTATAACTTGTAATTTTTAGAATAGAACTTTTTCTCTTTTCATTCCAAGCATATTCTAGAGAGAGAAACACAAACCCTAAGAGGGAGAAAGGAAGAGCTTCCATCTCTTATTAGGTTTGGATGTAATCTTTTAATACCTTATGCATTTCATCTAGTGTATGTATTGTGAACTAGTTTTGATTCAATATTAATATTGTCTTTGATTTCTTATTTGTGGGTCTTGACAAAA